AGAGAGAGTGAGAGCGCTGGTCCCCTCCTTTTCGACTGGGGAATCGGTCAATTGGCGCCCCGCCTCCCCCCCGGAGCAAAATGGCGGTTCAGTGAGCCCGAGTGCGCCGTGCATCAGCGAGGAGTCATCCGAGTCATCGGGCGAGACGGGGAGATCGTCGTCGGTGGTGTTTCCTCGATGAATGCCGCAGCGGACTGACTCGCGTGTGCGACGCGCCCGCCCGATAATCGTCAACGTACAGAATGCGCTTTTATTGCCATCTCGTCTGGGGCGTTTGGTGCATCCTGCAAGGTGACAAAACACGCTTCTCGCTTCGGCGAATATTACCGTTAAACGCCGTACGTCTCCTTTAATCCGCTGTACCGCCGCGTCTGCGTCAGCCTCTGTAATTCAATCTATCAATCGCGATAGGCGGGACAGACGGCCTTTTCTCCATCATCTCTGTGTGTGTGTGTGTGTGGGTCTTTTTTTTTCCTCAGTTACTGCCAGGGACTATGTTAAACTGTCACACGACGGGCCAGTTGTGCTGGGTGGCACGATCACGTTTAGAGCCGATTTGTACAGAGAGGACGGCAGCCGACCACGGGGGACCTTCAGATACAAATGGACCGACGATTCGTTAATGAAACACGAATATCTGGTTATAATCACAATAGTCACGATAATGCGCTGTAGTAACAATGTTGCCGTTTCGAAATTGTTATTAGCCGCGCGCAGCTGTACAATTTTACCCTTTCGCGTAGAGAGCTTGTTAAATTTAGAGCCACGTCTGCATCTAATAACGTCTCTCTCCGACCGATCTTTTCACGAGCGATAAACTTTTAGAGCAAAGACACGTCGAATACAACAACATTTTGGAGCATAAGTTACCCGCGCAATGGCAACATTCCCGGAAACTACATGGTGGAGGTGGAAGTTTCCTATCTCAGCTTCTCGTTCTTTTGGATGTTCGATGCGAGCGCTCGTGTCGAGTTTGAAATTTCTGGTAAGTCTCTCGATTGGGGAGAATCTGCCTCGCCGTCTCTCCTCGTCCAGGTGTCACTTTACCGTCACTTATCTTTATCAGAATGTCTCAATGGCAATATAACTGCGAAGCAGGCGAACAAAACCATCACGGGCGAATACATCTCGTCCACAAACGAGACCAAATTAATGATAGACCTGCGCCAGGGAGATTACGACTTTGTGACGGAGAAAGCAACGGCGATATCGACATACTGGTTTATCGACTGCAAATTCTACGGCCAGACAAATGATTTCGCTTTCGCCTACAATTTTACGAGCCCCGGCGTAACGTACGAGCTGGGAGCTCTAGTGATAGCTTCGTACGATCCGCCGACGACCACAACCATGTTGACACCCACAACTACGGCCGCGGCCACTAACGCGACGACAGTCCCGTCAAACGCTACCACGGCAAATACCAATGGGACTCGCGTCGCGGTTGCAACATCACCGATGACTGTTACGAGTACGGCGAGGCCACCGACGAAGCCTACGACAGCTGCGTCTCCAATCGACGCGACCACGATAGACATTTCCAATAGATCGTTGCCGTACATTTGCTCAAATTCGTCCCTCATTCCACCGGATCCTAACAAAACGTACGGATACTTCAGCAAGAACATCCACGTTCGTGGTTAGTAGGACGCGCAATTCATATTTCGCTTTACGCAGAAGGAATTACGCCTGTACATAGATTCTGCGTACGAACGAACAACCTTGATAATGTTTTTAACTCCTTTTCTCTTTTCAATAAAAATCTTTAGCTCCCGTGTCGAATATCTCGGTGGAAGGTACAAATTGGATCCAACCGTGGGACATGCTGTCTTTGAACGTGACCTGCAAGGGGTCGGGCCCGTTTTCCAAGTGTCTTCTATTTCACCGCGGAAAGTACAACGCGACGGGGAACGAAACGTGCGACATTATGGAGCAGTTGCGCTCCTGCAATTTTTCCATTGTCCACTATTTCCTCGAGCCCAGTGTCTACACGATATTAATCATACTGAACAACGAAGTTAGTACGCAGGTTTATCCGCTAACGATAAACATTTACAAAGGTAAGCTTCTGCCACAGTGATCCGATATACCGTAACTTACTTGCGTAAACTTGTGCGATTTTGTGTAGCGCACACAAATGTGAATTCAATAATATTCTTGCAGTTACAACCAAACCGCAATTGTCGGTTATCGTCGTGCCAGTCTCTTGCTCAGTCGTTGCCGTAGTGCTGATAGTGTTTGGCGTTGCGTATTACATTCAAAGCAGAGCAAGATTCACGATAGAAGTCGCGGACTTCGATTTTGGGCAAAGTAATCCAGAGATGGAGTACAAAACGTTTACGGAACGTTTACGCGACTCGTTCAATAACACTGTAAGACCTGGCAGCAAACGGCTACACGTACGCTATTATGGCAGCATGAATCACTGAAACATACAGGCTGCGCGACAAGCTATGTGACCTCTATCGCCATCTCACCTTTCTGTAACTTTGTCTTTTAAACGCAGTATCACTTCTTTTCGTTTCGTTTTTTTTGGTCGTTTTGTCTTTAGTCTCAATGCGCTTAACTTTTATTTACTTACCGCAGACTTTGACCGCGACCAAAACGAAAAAAAAAAAAGAAATGGTTGCAACGACCAGCACAACTTTTTCCGCTTTCTATCGCAAAAGATTCGCACCGATCGGCTGCTAATATATAAACTGTTTATCGTAGGGTTATAAACCACTAAGCAATCCACAGACGCTTCAGTGATGCGTGAACGAGAAGCAACGTTCTCACGAAGCTCGTAACTGTAAAATACCTTTCTGCGAGGAACGAGCGTAAACGAGAGTAATGCGCCGAGCAGAAATATCCATCGGCAGATTCGACGGCACTGCTAACGAAGAGGTCTGTCCGAATGTTCTGTGGTAATAGTGGCAATAGACACTGGGCAGTTTCGCTTAGAAGAAAGATCGATGGCGTTTGTAAAAAGTAAGAGGAAGAAGAGACAACGCTGCACACGATTAATTATTAACCAACTAGCGATTGAACAAATCGAAATTGTACATAGATGAGTAAATTGAATGATATGTATATATAGGCTGTGAATATATAGTACGCAACGGTGTATTAGAGTCGCTCATAATAGGATACGCAGGAGAGTTTTATATTTTTTAAAAATCACAACAGGAGTTGTCTCAATTTGTATCCCTTTTTATAATTTGTCATGCGTCATTTTCGATTCTTCATTGCAACACGTTTGGCACGCACGGGATACAATAGCGAGATGAGTTGAAGAAATCAATAAGCACACGCACACATGCACGTATACGCGCGCGTATAAAAGTTGATATAAAGGGTTTTTATTGAGAATCAGTAAAATCACGTACTAAGAAATGTTTTTAATGCATCTACCATTGTATATATAATTTGCTAACAAGTAGGACTGATATTACATTTGTCGTACGACATATGTTTCAAGCGTGTCGATTGGCTGCAGAATAGTAAAGTTCTCGAGTATCTAGAAAGTTTTTATTCAGCAGCCATCAACACGCTTGAAAAATACGCACGACAAATATAATATCAGGCTAGATTTCGTCAAAGGATTTCGATCCGCATAGAAGGTCGAAGACTAATCGTTTGGAAATTAAATTTATTTATAGATGAAGCATGCTATGAACCCGAAATCACTTCTGGAGATGTAATAATCGCAGTATTGTGGCATAAGAGTCATTAATTATCTGCTATATCTTTAATAGAGAGAAAAATCAATGATATGTAGTTTTTCAAATACCACCTACACTGGCCAATGTTTTTGTTTAAAAATAGTGGCCAGTGTAGGTTGTTTTTGAAAAACTACATACCATTGGTTTTATATTACTGGCGATATTAAATCTATTTGTAAAGAGAAAAATGTTGATGCTGTCGCTGTTTTTGTATCGTCATTTGGGAAATCGTCGTCGATGCCATCGATGATGTCATCGATACGTTATGCGTTGAGCTCGTTGCAATTACATAACTTGTTAATAATATTATAACTAAGCTTGTAATATATCTTTAAATTAAAATAGTTTAAATCTTGATACAAGACTCTATGTAAGCAGCATTTTAATCAGGCACCCCACTATATTGAGCGATTATGCTGAATGTAGCGAGGGCATGAATGAATTTTGTTAATTTATTTTACATCTCGTAAAGACATGTATCTTCTCTTTCTTTCCATGTCACGCTATATTCTCGTTTGTTCGTGACTGAATAAATTCGAGCATTGAATCAAACGGGGGGGGGGGGGGGCGAGATCGCGCGAGGCTTTGAATGTTTCCTAGGGATATTTTGGTAAAAAACGAGAGCGCACCCAGCTGCCCGCTTTTCGGGCATGCGCAGCGCAGATCTAGTGAAATCCAGTAACGTCCGCATGCTCGGAAAGTGAGAGCTTATTGTTTTGGCGATTTGTTTTTGAATACTCGTAAGGTTTTTGGCAGGTTTTCCTCAAAATAAGAAATTATTTGTTAAATATCCGAACGATGTCTTTCCGAAGATTATTTCTTACTGGGGTTTGCAACAAATATTGATGCGATTCCCATTTCCTGCCAAAATAAAATATAATGAAATATAGAAAAATGTTCTTTCTGTTCAAACAATTATTCCAAATAAGTCCTATCCTCCTTTAATCACCATTTATTTAGCTCACTATTATTTATGTATATCATTAATTCGATTTATTATTTCATAATTGTATCTACATCTACTATTTAATACACTTAAATCAACTTTATTTCGCGATCCTTACTGACATTGCAAAGTCCTCGTTATAATTTTTATAGATACATAAAAAATGGGGCCTTCACAGGACCTTCGTATTTCCGAGCTTACTACTTTGCTGATGCCACATTGCACCGCGCATGCCCGAAAAGCGGGCGCAGATCTAACAGCGCGCCGAGAGCACACCTTGCTCGACCGATGGCGACATTCCATTAAATGCCGTCAATCCCGTCGGGAGGGGGAAGGGAATATCAACATGGCGACTTGTGCGGTAAATCCGGCTAGTCGCGCCCTATCGGGGGCGATCGGAGTGCTTTTGCGTCGCGTTCGCGTTGCAAACGTTCGTTGACGCGCGTGCAGCTCCAGTCTCGGTCGTCGGTAATCGGTGTAGCGTTGCAACGGGATCGACTGGGGACATCGTGGACGCGTCCTCTACACGTGGTGCTGTGACCGCGCGACGCGACCACGCGATGTCGGTCAGCTACGCCAGGATGAAGTCGTGCCACGAGGCGCCGTCGCCGACGTCGTCGACGTCGCCCGCGTCGCCCACGTCGCCGACGTCGCCCGCGTCGCCGGCGTCGCCGACGCCGCCGTTGACGAGTACGCCGAGCAGCGCGCCCAGGCGCGCCGGCGACGAGGAGGACTGGCGGATGCAGCTGGCGTTCTGCAAACCCCGTCACAACGTCACGATCGAATACGTCAATTGTATCAGTCAGACCTGGCGAATGAAGGAGCGGGTACGCGCGCATACACGTGGCGTAGCTTCACTGCGAGTCACCTGCGTCTCGCCGCGCTAATTGCGTGCTCTTTGTTTTAGATGAAAACCGTGAGCGTTGCCCTAGTATTGTGCCTCAACGTTGGCGTCGACCCACCGGACATCGTCAAGACACAACCGTGCGCCCGCCTCGAATGCTGGATAGGTAGTTGAACCGTACATCCGTATAGCCAGTGGCCTCGCTAGTTTATTTACATTCCTCCTCTCCCTGTCGTTATGTAATTGCGATTTGAGGTTAGGGTTGGGTACTTGCACCGTGCGTAACGTGTCGAGTGATTCGGCCTGGTCGCGACGACCGTCGCGCTAGAGAAATGAGAAAGAGAATCGAGCGTAGAGATCAGAGACGACTTCTTTCGTCAAGGATACAGATACAAGTTACGTCTTTTAAATTCCCTCGATTGAGATGTAAGAGCCGGTCAATTATTTTTCCAGAGAGAGATATCGCTATCTGTATCTTTAAAAAACAAAAGGATGGCAAGCTCTGATGGAAATTCAGAAAAGCAACATTCGCGTTTGACCTGTTCAAAATGTACTAGGATCTGTTCTAACACAATTGGCATTTGCACTCATCTGTCGTCTCTCTTTCAGATTTCGCGCTCTGTATACTGTCAAGTAGAATCATTTTTATTGCTATAACAATTGTGTTTCAATTATTACAACATAAAACGGAAGAATACCTGCGGAAGCGTATATGTAAAAATCCCAACGTTTATGTATCATACGTCAAGGGTGCGTGCGAGAGCTCACTATCCAAGTAGCCGAGTTGCTATGCGGCTATCTTTGTGATAGAACGACGCTTTCAGCGCTAAGTAGCGCTGATTGTGAGCTCCCGAACGCACCCCAAATGTTTGTAGAAGACCAAACTTCCTTGCGCTTCCTTGCGTAACAATTGTAAATAATAATTGAACGACAAATGTGTGCTTTCCTCGTACACACTCGTGCGACAAACTCAATTGCAAAACTGATATCTCTCCAGATCCCTTGTCGGTGAGTCCTCAAAAAGCCCTCGAGACCATAGGCTCGAATTTGCAAAAGCAGTACGAGCGATGGCAGCCGAGAGCGCGCTACAAACAAAGTTTGGATCCCACCGTTGAGGAAGTTAAGAAGTTATGTACGTCCTTAAGGCGAAACGCCAAAGAAGAGAGAGTTTTATTTCACTACAACGGTCACGGGGTGCCCAAACCTACTACTAATGGCGAAATATGGGTGTTTAATAGGGCAAGTATAGGCTTAATCTATTATATGCGGCGTGTATGAATGACCGAATGTGTCTGTCTGATTATTAATTGCGTGTCTGCTTTTATAGACGTATACACAATACATTCCATTGTCGGTGTACGACTTGCAGACTTGGATGGGTGCGCCTAGCATTTATGTATACGATTGTTCCAATGCAGGTATAATAGTAGAGTCTTTCCAACAATTTGCCGACCAGCACGAAAAGGAGTACGAGGTAAGAGTAATATGAATTTCCTTAAATATTCGAAATGTTAACGAAGAATTGAAGCGTAATTATCGAATGAGATCGTTATACAGATGGAAAAACAGCAAAATCGTGCGACCGGGGTGACGTGTCCTGCGGCACCGTGTTATAAGAATTGTATTCAATTAGCAGCCTGTGCGGCTAATCAGATCTTACCTATGAATCCGAATCTACCTGCGGATATATTTACGTCATGCCTCACTACGCCCATAAAAATTGCGATACGCTGGTAAGAATGTTTGCCACAAGGACGAAAAAAATAATATACATCCGAAACATTTTTTGTTCGTTTTATATAGGTTTGCGATGCAACCTACGTCCAAATTGGTTCCCAACATATCGCTTGATCTCATTGACAAGTAAGAACGTATCCAATTTTTGTCCGATTTTTATTATATTGTGCCGCAGACAGAAATAGTCTATGAATATCTTTATACACGCGTTTTAGAATCCCTGGGCAGTTGACCGATAGGAGAACAATGCTAGGCGAACTTAATTGGATATTTACCGCCATTACTGACACAATAGCGTGGAACACTTTACCGAGAGGTGAGAGATTTCAGCCACAAGTTTATCGACACAAAATAAAAATATAATTGAACTAGTATTAATTAACGAAATATTGTCTCACTTTTAGATTTGTTTCAAAGATTATTTAGACAAGACCTCTTAGTCGCCAGTCTCTTCAGAAACTTTTTGCTAGCGGAGAGGATACTTCGCTCTTACGATTGCACGCCAGTTTCTTCTCCCAAATTACCACCAACTTATCAGGTAAATTGATTCGTTCCTGTGTAAAAGAATCTGCTATAATATTATAAACGAGAGGCAAGCCGCTGAGGCGCATTGTGGTGTACATATTTGCGGCATTACTGGGCATCACTAGGCATTTTTTGGACATTAGTTTGGGTATAAAGTAATGTTCACTGGGCATTAGTAGGCATTGGTATACATAATTTTCCCCTCGATTGTAAATATGCCAACATTTTTACAAAAATATTGCTTGTTTCGAAATTAAAAATAGCTAATATCTTCCTGCGCACATATTCATTTAGCACCGCATGTGGCAAGCTTGGGACATGGCGCTTGATCTGTGCTTGGCGCAATTACCAACGGTTCTGGACAATGAAGAGCGATACGTGCATTCGTCATTCTTCGAGGATCAACTCACGGCTTTCCAAGTGTGGCTCAACTTGGGATCGAAAAATCGCAGTCCGCCTGAACAGCTTCCAATTGTCCTCCAAGTGCTATTGAGTCAAGTCCACAGGCTGAGAGCGTTAGAGCTGCTAGGGCGTTTCCTTGACCTCGGCCCATGGGCTGTGAACCTAGCACTTAGCGTCGGCATCTTTCCGTATGTGTTAAAATTATTACAAAGCAACGCCAGAGAACTTCGACCCCTTCTCGTGTTTATATGGGCAAAAATTTTGGCGGTGGATAACGTGAGTGCCATACTTTCGTACCATTACCCGTTATAATGTTACACTACGCTTCACATATATAAATTCTAATTTTAGATTTGATTCTCAATTGCAGACTTGCCAAGCAGACCTTGTACGCGATGGCGGCCACAAATATTTCCTGTCCGTGTTGCAGGATACTTCTATCCCGGTATAGCTTATATATTATATTTAATTTTATCCGATAACTGCGCTCGGATTACAACGGCTAAAGTATCTCGTAACGAAAGTACGTTTGATAATAATTTCAGAGCGAGCACAGAACATTAGCCGCGTTTGTATTGGCTAGTATCGTGAACGATTATCGGCCGGGCCAAGTGGCCGCGAATCAGGGCAATCTCGTTTCGATATGTCTGGAACAATTGGGAGACAGCAATTCTTTGCTGCGACAATGGCTTTGCTTGTGCCTAGCGCGGCTTTGGCATAATTTCGATAAGGCGAGATGGTGCGGTGTCAGGGACATTGCGCACGAGAAATTATTCACCCTACTAAAGGATCCCGTCCCAGAGGTGACTTATGAATATACATAATCGAGTTTATATCAACCTATTTCATTTTACTTGTAATATGAATTTAATACAATTTGTGGTAATGGAGCCAGGAAGCTTATATTTCGTTGTAACGTTACGTGTCAATTTAGAAAGTTTTAAGAAACGCAGGTTTTCGTGCAGGTTCGGGCAGCTAGTGTGTACGCATTGGGCACATTCGTAAACAGTGTCACGACGAGAAGCGAGCATGCGAATAATATCGATCAGATAATCGCTATGACACTTATTAATACGATTTCTCACGACATGTGTCCGTTGGTTAGAAAAGTGAGTAGTCGAGACTGCAGAGATTGTGAGTTCGGAATTGATAAATTACTGATAAACGTTAGCTAACGAAATTGTTTACGCAGGAATTGGTTGTGGCTCTTCAATGGATGGTGCTACACTTTGAAAATTCCTTCGTTACGTTAGCCATGGCCGAGGAGAACAGTCGAAAGGACCTCGTCGTGGAAACTCTGTCCCCATTCAGCGGTATGAGACGCATTAGCTCGCGCGACAGACTCAAGATGTTGTCCCCTAACAATACATACACCGTAGATACGACCGATGGATTTGGGCCGCAAGACCGCATCAAGAGAGTATCGTCTTCGTCGTCCATTAGCAGCCTAGGTAAGGAGTAAGCCGATTTTCAGAAAAAAAAGTCGAAAATCAATAATACTTTCTGTCTGAGCACTGGACCGAACAATTATCTGCATTGATTCTTTCGTGTGTCAGGTAATAATTGGGAGTTCGTGAGGAAACCTTGCGAGTCACTTGGTAATAATAATTGCAAGTTTCATTGCATGTTGATACATAGTTGGTTTGCTTTTTGTTTTCGCAACTGTGTAATCTCCACCGATAGAGTGCTCTTTACACAAGCTTTGTATATAATTGCGACATTTTTTCTCTTTCTTTTTTCCCCTCTTTATTATGATAAACGTTTGCGACAGCGACGTTCCGCGAATTTTATCAAATTGTTCATCACAGGTCACGGTTCTCTTGGCAACTTACCGAGTCTCTCCTATGGTAGTGTTTATATGAAATTGTGGCACGGATTGTGTAATCTCGACAATGATCCTCATCCGGTGGTTGGTGCTATGGCTCAAAAAGTTACAAATCATATTCGTAACAAGGTATTAATATCCAACGTGTTAAAATTCGACCGTACAGCTTACGTTATGTAACCCGTCGTGAAAAATTTCAGGTGAAAGCATCTTCCACCCCCAAAGAAGTAGTCGAGACGAAAATCTCCTCGTCGTTGTCCCTCCCGCCGTCTCCGTCAAATCGGACGGGTTATTTGAGGTCGGTCAAGGTCTACCTTGTACCAAATGTAATTGCCGCCTTATCTCTTAACAATTCTTTTCAATTCTTAACAATAGCAAAGGAGAATCACCACCGCCGGCTGTCAACTCTGGAACGGACCTGCTGCGTTCTTCGAGAGTTCTGCCGCACAGCAGCCGCTCGAGGAAACCTGTTCCTAACACAGTAAGAGAGAACCCACTGCTCTTTATTTGTCTCTTTTTAAACCGCTAACTTTTTTGCCCGATCAAGATAGCAAAATCACACCGTACAAATGTAAATTGTTTAAATTTTACTTTCCAAGTCTTATTTTCCGATAAATGAAAAGTATTTCGCCACAAACTATTGCCATTTAACGACGAATCATCCTACTTATACCTACTTACTTGTGACTTTAGATATCTGAAGAAGCGGACGAAGCACCCGGAGTTAAAACTCCATTGACTACATCTCAGTTCGTCGAATGGAGTTGCGCGCAGTTTGCTCAGCCTGTTAGTTTAGAGGACGAGATGGACGATGTAGAGAGCAGACCATACCTCGAGCGAGAATGGCGGTAAGAAGCATTTGTACCAATGCTAATTCTCTAATTGTACAATGAGCTTAGATCGAATGTTTGTGTTTTGCACACAAAACGTTATACACGATTGTCGCAGATTTATACGTAACGCGAAACAAAAACAAGACGCAAGGGAGGAACAGTTGCGTGCACCGCAAAGTAAGATGGAATCGCAAGTGTATCACGCGAGGTGTTCTCAGTCACCTCAAGTTCTGGTTTTTCATCCGTTTGAACCACATTTGGCCGTGGCGCTGAAGGATTGTTTCGGGTATTTGAATTTTCCCTCATCAAGCTGTAACAAATATTTAATATCTGAATTACGATAAATGACCAATTAACGTACGAGCATGTTTTAATTAGTATCTATTGAAATTTGTTTCAGCATATGGGATTACCAGAGTGGTGCCAAGTTGACCTACTGCACGAGTCAAGGAATGAAAGTAAAATCGCGCATCACGGCTCTCGAATTCATCAACTCTCACGATTTGACTCTACTGATGGCAGGTTCCGACGACGGTTCCGTACAAATCTGGAAGAATTACAGCGGTACGATAAGCCGTGATCCGATACTGCTCACAGCTTGGCAGGCGCTGGCGGACGTGCAACCTGCAACCAAGACTTCTAGCGGTACATATACTACATGTACATATGAGAGCATATTGAAAACTTGAAGCTTACAAATTTATCCCTAGAATGCTTAGAATATACCGCTGTGTTTCCGCAAAAGCTTGTTATGCCGTATTACCTCAAGAATAATTCTGTACACTCTTGTCATGTCATATTCAGTACTGTAGTGAACAATGGTAAAAAATATATTTGCAGTGACAGCACGACTCGTGACGAAATGGGAGCAGAAATCACTCACTCTAGCGGTAACGGGCGATGTTCGCATCGTAAGGCTCTGGGATGCGGAAACCGAGTTGAAGAAACAAGATATTCCAACAGGCGCCGATTGTTGTACCACATGCATCGACGTTGACGGCACAGGTTGGTTGTTTTATGTCTTACCACATGCCCGCTACATGTGCGTCGTTTTTGTTGTGCCAGTGCGTAAGATGAGCGTGTGTCCATCTCGAAATTTTTCAGGCGCGTTAATGGCCCTGGGCTGTGGCGACGGATCGGTTCGACTCTTGGACCGAAGATTGCCGCCGGCAGAAGCAAGAGTTATGACTTGGAGGGAACACACCGCTTGGGTGTCGGGCACGTTTTTAAGGCAATCCGAGGGAGCCGCGCTGCAACTGTTTACCGGATCCTCCACAGGCGACATAAAAATTTTTGATCTTAGAAAAAATTCCTCCGTGAGCACGATTCCAATAGCACCGGGCATTGCGGCATTGACTGTGCACGAAATAGCTGACGTTTTCGCTTGGTAAGATTAACTTGATCTCTTGTTTATTATCGTATATATTCGCCTATATAACTATTGGAAATTTTGTTAACTCTGACTTTCTTATATTATTTTAATGGCTGTGTGTATATCGTGTTCTTCTGGACTAGAGAATGCTATGCTTTTATTTTAGTGGCACCACGAATCACTGCATAAGCGTCTACAATATATTGGGACAACATCTCAATACGATAAAATTTCACGAAGGATTTATGGGTACGCGCCTCAGTCCGGTAAGCTGTTTGAGTTTTCATCCGTATCGCGTAACTTTGGCGGCTGGCTTCGTGGATAGTACCTTCACGGTATACGAGCCACGTAGATGACTATTAGAGATGGAACTTGTGTAAGATCCTTGTAGAATTTTGTAAATTTATAAAAGTGACTCACGTACTTTCTTTCTTTTTCTTTTGTTTCCTTTTGCGTTTCGTCTTTTTACAATATTTTCGACGAAATTAGAGTTCTTTGCCCCCGGTGTTTTCGCGCGAGATTAACACGGGGAATAATTCCTACGACGATGATAGCCTTCCGTTTCCTGCTATTTCTTCTCGCTAAAAGATCGACGATCTGCTTGCTGTTCCTGCGTGCAAAGGATGGAGAGAGAGAGAGAGAGCATAGTTGTAGCTTTTGTGATAAAGAGCGAGGGTTAACCAAAGTATTTCGAGGCGACCAAAGAATAAGATATGATTAACCATCTTGCGCATTATAAGATAATGACTATCGACAGAACTTTGGTGCCCTGGGAAATGCTGATGCATAATAATGTGTGTACATTGTGATAAATGATTAATGCGAGTTTGCGTAAGCGGAAGAAAGATTAAGGTTTAACGAAAACCATACGGTGAGATAAACTCACCTATTGTGCCATGCAACATCCACTTGAGAGTCAGAACGAACGCTGTTCCCATGCAGATCTTGGTGTAGCGGAGATTTTAATTACCGAATCGAGCACGATGTGGCTGTGTAAATACGGCTCGCATTATATGCATTTTTAATTATAAACTACGTGAGTGACAATTGTTGCTAGAGTATACAGTTCGCTGTAGTTTGTCGACATAATATATTGTCTCTTGTTTTTAAATATTACTTCTATCATCGTGTTCCTGACCAATGAATGAAATAATGTAGTTCCATTTCGAACAACTTTTAACCATTACCGATATCGTACAAAGCTTTGCGCTTAAATAAGTATAATTTTGTAAAGCAGTAAGATTTTGACGAAGAACACATTTGTTACGTTTATATATTTATTCGAATGGCAATATTAGATGTAAACCGTGCGTATGTGCAATATTTTTAGATCGACGTACGTCGATCTAGATACATATACAACTGCAGAAATTTCAAACTACAGATATTTACAAAGTTGAATAAGCGCGAAAATTGTAGAGGGCGGAGATATTTTTTTACACGAACGTGCAACTTCCTAACAAAATTATACTTATTATTTATTTTACAGAAGCATTTGTATAAATGTTTAGTTATACACATTGCGGTGACAACGAAGCGTCATATCGTTTGGATGTTTACTTTTCAAGAGCTGTTGGAGAGAAAAGAATCTAATCGTGTTACACACACATACGTTCTGTTAAGACTTGTGTGAGATATTTAGAGATTACCGCGATTCCCCTCCCTGACGCGTTAAACGGCACGTGGCGGAATCATTAACGATCGCGCGATTGTACTGTCGAAAAGTAACTCTTTCGTAATTATGTTATCAGCATACCAGTTTGTTCCATTCCAGTCTCGTTAAGCTGCTGCCGTTTTCGCGAAGAATGCGTATGGCGATACTGTCACGGGGACAGAAAGCAATTTAGCTTCTTTACGGTGTGTAGTATACACATATACATATAGAACAAGTTCTAAGGTAGGAGCACAAGTAGACGCCGAGTTGATGTTATACGAGCAAAAGTCGGTTATATTATTGTAACGAAAATAAATACGATGTAAATACGTAAATACGTAATAGGAAGCTCTCGCCGTAGGAAGAGGAAGCGACCAGGAGGTGCGACAGATAGCTTTGTATCACTTTATATTAAACGACAGTTTTGTCATTGACGTACGCGTTGCCCTAAGCTGTGGCGTGTGCGATAAAGTGGCGGGGATCGATGGATTTGCGTGCGGCGTTGTAAGAGTTGTACCGATCACGAATTTCTATAGATATGTAGATGCGATACGTATAGTGCCGGATGTACTTAATCGTTTGCCGATTGAAAATTTCTCCCTTTGTGTCTCTCCTTTTTTTCTCTCCTTTGTTTTCTATCGAAACGACTTGTCCGTTCTACATTTCGCCATCAATGAATTTGCGCGTTAACATTATCCATTGCGCGTTTATCTCGATAAACGCTGTCTATTTTTAGTACGTCCCACTATGCCTGTTGAATTAGCCGTTCAACACCCGTTTTTGCCAGTAGCAAACAGTTTCTTTTTACTCTTCGAGTCATTTCAATTCTCTACGTCGCGTTGCTGCGCACGTGAATGATAAAAACGAATAATAAAACCGAAGGTGGAGAAAAACCACGCTTTAGGCTCAGAAAATTCAGCATTTTACGCCAATTTAAGCTACATTGCCGCGGAAACGTTGCCATGGGGAAAAAGAAACATATCTTGGCCGATTGCGTGAGTCATGAAAGCTCAGTTATGTAATTTAGTTAAGTTTTAACGTTTAAAACTCAACTATGTAATTGCGAGATGGGGAACAATTCGAATTTTAGCGCCGTCAGCCACAACACATTGCGTGACGCCCAAACGTGCAGACGTAATTTATTATCCTACATTGGACGAAAATTGGAATTGTTCCAATTCTACAGTTTTGTGTTTGTACGACCCTTACTTTCCGGAAAAAGCGAATCTCGAATAAGAGACACGGTATAATTTTGGCAAGTTGAATCTCTAGACGCTAAACGCTATATACATATAAGGCTTTTGTATTCTCGCTGTAGCCACAATATATACAATGTAGCCGAACGATAGGATGTATATAATTATGAGTAGCGAGATATGAAAGAATCCATTCCTTTCTGCAGTATCTCAGATAGCACACATGGTTCTATGAACATTCTTTTGGAGTGCAAATATTCTTAATTTCAGAACATTCCAATCGAATATTCTATAAATATATATAGATTATTACAATTGGAAATCGTATATTCATAACGAAGGGGAACGTTTTCAGAATATTCGTCGAGAATGTCTTTGGAATAATTTTTTAACATTCATCGAGTTTATGTATTGCGCATTGTTTATTGCGTAATACACTTATCTCGCGCAAAAGGCAGTGAAACCTGTGATCGTACCATGTATAACCGACACGCTATATTCGATGGATTATTCTATTCACATTTGAAAAACATTTATAGTAGTGTCAGTCGAATATTCTATGAACATAAGACAAATATATAAGAATGACCTATGGGATATTCCAAATATTCTTGGAGAATATTCTGAAAATGTTCACAGGAGTGTCTTGTGCTATCTGGGATACGTCGCGAGAAATTGGTTGCATCGAAATACGAATTGGCGATATCTTTTCTCTTTTGTGGTAAACGGTACCACGGGATAGCTGCTCTGCTCTATGTATTACGTACACATTACGTACAACTCGACGACTACGACCATTCTGACGCGCCGTTATTATATCGTTGGCTAGCAATAATATAGTCGCGCCGAGGATACGCAGACACTCGTAATGCGGGGGATAAGTGGAGACGAGTCGCGATCACCAAGTGTCGACGACTTTGGCACTGTATGCTATTGTACATTTGTGTAATTATGTAATTGCCTCCTGTAGCGAAATATACAATATGATGACGTTACGCCGATCTTGTGCAAATAAGTTGGGTGAATTCGTAACTCGTTTCTTTTTTCTTTTCTCCGGCGCCTCGCGTTCTCGCGATGATCTTCGCTGCGCTCGGACATCACCTGCCGTTCGCTGGGACGATGATGGATGACTGCGAGATGGCGAGAAGCGTATAAATGTATGCCGATCGCGAGACGACGTTTAACGCGATTTATCGATACGTTAGGCGACGTTCCGTCGAAGCGTGAACGTACCGTAGCATCGCTGGTGGCAGTGCGATTCAAGGCACTCTTAAAAAGTCGCCGCGACGTACGATCTTATCGCTATCGGCGATCGGATGCTATTCCAATTCTCTCACGGGACGCTACACAGGACTCGTCTCGTTAGTTTCATTAACGCCTAGTTTAACGCAACGCGTTCGCGTCGCGTCGCATTCGCCGTGTCGTTTCGGCTCGTCCTTTTGTGCGTTACTTTTGTATTTTCAAACTTTCTCTAGGCAAGACGGTGCGACATTTGTAGGAAATTTCTGCGATTTCTTTCCGGCGTCGCGCGCGGTCGGACGTCAGCTTTCACGAATCTCGTAAATCGGAGCGTGGAGGAAATTGAAAGGCGACGGCGCGAACGAATATTTCACGATTGTCGAGAACCCAGTGCATTTTCCGCGCGAGGGTATTCGTGTAGCGTGGGACGCAGGAGCCTAGGTTAATGGCCTGATGGGCGACATAAGGCGATACAGGGCGTTCCTACTTGCACCGAAAACGTTTGCTTTCGCTCGTACATTTTTATCTTATCTCTGGCCTTGTGTAAAAAAATTTCCGCTATTCATAAAGAGACTATTCATATTAACCAACTTTATTAAGAGAGTACTCAATAGATAAACCTCATAAGATAAAGAGAATCAAGTTAATAATCTGGTATAATTAAGGGGCGACGATGGTGCTATTTTAATGGCGCTCTTCCCTAGCGAAAAAATTTCTATAAATAACTACAAAAAATTGACTTGAAATAGAAATTTGTAGAAATTTTTATATCTTCGTTGAAACATTTATTTTTTTGTAAAAATATCTACAAAATAGTACCACAAATTACAATGTTCTCAAATCAAGAAATTATTGTGAGTAATATTTCATGAAAATGTACAATTTTGTAAAAATTAGTACAAAATTTTACTGGTTTTAAAAATTTGTGAAATAACAAAATCTTAAAGAATTAAAACATCTGCTTACTTGTAGAATATTACAGAAATTAACAAAAGTGTTCCAATTCTAGCATTTTCATATTGATTTTCATAACACTTTTTAAATTTACGTAGAATTTTATAGATTCTGGCAGTTATATTTAATTTTCTTGTAGAATTTTGTAGAATTATTTCCGGCAGGGTTTATCGAACGGACGTTTCGCGCGTACACTGAAAAAAACAGTCTGTTAGAAAATGGACGAATCAGAATTCCTTTAGGATTTACCGTGAAAGATATTTCATAACCAGAAGTTTGCTAGACTTCACTACAAATCTGGTAAATCCTAAAGAGAATTCTGGTTCGTCCATTTTCTAACAGACGACCGGTTGAATCTATCAGATTTTTTTTTCAGTGTAGTTTTCGGAGAACGCGACTCGACGGTAAAAGAGGATTCGGAACATTTTTATTGAACAAGTATTAGAAATTTGTCTCATTAATATCACTGTCGCCTTTATTTCTTGGATATAACATTTTAACATAAAAAATAATAAAGTATCTAGTTTGTATAAATATCCATTTTAATTGGCGCAATTTGATGATATCATTACTTTTGTGGAGACAATAAAAATGAATTTTTTCTAACAAAATATATCGAAATAATTAAATTATACACTTCTTGATCGGATGGCGCCTGTACTTGGCGTCTTTTTGACCTTTTTTTAAAATTCTTTCGGTAAAATCGTATACTCGATTGTTTGGATATAACATTTTAATAAAAAAAATTAAGTATCTAGTTTGCACAAATATCCATTTAAATTGGCGCCTTTTTCTTTTCGGTAAAGTCTTATGCTCGATTGTTTGGACATAACATTTTAATACCCAAAATACTTAAGTGTCTACACACAGAAAAATATATACTACCTGCAAGTAAAGATTATTTGTTCCAAGTATTTGATAAGTTTATATATCCGCAAATCTATCATAATGTCGTCGCAAGTGTTATATTTCCTCAAAACATATTCTGGTTCTTAGTAAGTCTAGTATTTCAAACAAGAATACATAGAATTATTTGAAGCAAAACAATTTTGTTTCTTCTGATTTTATTAAAAGAAGCATACGGAATTCTTCAATAAGTTTTATAATTTTCTTCAAAAAAGAATAAATTCTTTCTTTGAGTATAAGATGGCAAGCTTTTCTAAGACTAGTAACAAGTATATCTTAAAACTATTATTAAGAAAGTATTCTTTGTTAAAGCAAACTATTACTTAAACGGAATAAAATAAACCGAGTAATTACTTTTCTTGACTGTACAATAATATTTTTCTGTGTGTAGTTTGTATAAATATCCAGATAACTAAATTATACAATTCTTGATTGGCTGGCGCTTGTACGCGGCGTCTTTTCTAGTGGTCTTAATTATTCGAAGCTTCGCAACTTCGAAGCTTCGAAGTATCCGAAGAAACGAAGAAACTTCGAATATCGAATTTTCGAAGTTTTGAAGTTTCGAATATTCGAAGACAACTAATGCATTAAGATATAAGCTTTCAAAGACCAATCTAATTTATCATCTGTATCTATCATCTATATCAGGCAGTAAAAAGAAATAGTTAATAAGATAAAATGTTAATGATAGAAAATTTATTTCCTTCGAATTAATTGTAGGATTTTTATGAGCGAATGGACAAAAATGTGTCCGACAAAAAGAACATTTGTTTTTTTATACTTGTAATGATATTAATTAGTTGGCATTTAATTAGTTCACAGTTATAGTAAAACCGATTAATTTTGCAAAATGTGTTATTGTTTTTTATCCTGTTAATACATTAGTTGACTTCGAATTTTTGAAACTTCGAAACTTCGAATCTTCGAAAAATTCGAAAACTTCAATTCTCGAATAATTTCTACGAAGCTTCGAATCGTCGAAGATTCCAAGGTTCGAAATTGAAAATCTTCGAAGAAAAATTTCAGCTCTAGTCTTTTCTCACCGATTTCGCGAAAATACAGAATACCTACGGGCCAGAGCCTCTCGTCGATCGTAGCCGCGCGAAGTCGTCCGTCGATCGAGTCGATTCGCGATAATCGCGCGCGCCAGCCAGCATACGCGGTGCAGAGGCCGGTGGTGGGAGGGCAGAAAAGTGGGGGAAACTGGGAAGAGAGAACGCTCCACCACGCTCCACCTCGCGCTCGGTCTACGTCAGTCTGTTCCGAGACGTCGCGCCGTGCCTGTCGTGCGCGGGTGTTATGTTATGTTACACCTTACGACGCGCTGCACGCACCTGAGACGCCCGTGAAGCTTGATCAGGCTATCGAGCCTCACCGTTACCGGGGCTGACGCACCCGAAGGTTGCACCGCATCAACGGTCGTGAGAAGCGCGCGCGCGGGACAGCATGGATCGATCGTCCAAGCTGATTCTACGAAAGCTCATCATCGACTTCCTCTGCCTGTTTATCGGTAAGTGAGACCGTGCCCAGATTCATGACCGCGTATCGTCGCATCTTCACGTTTTCGTGGGCCGAAACGGCCGGCTGTCAGAAGTGTCAGATTGACAGCCGAGACGCCGCGCCGCCGCCGCGCCGCGGCTTCGCGCGCGGTTCGTTTGATGTCCGGGACACCGCGCCGAGCGAGGGTGTAACTTCGAAATTGGCAGGTGCGCTTTGTCCGTGCGCTGTTGTTGCGATACCAGCGCAGTTTCCGCGAATCGCTTCGACGGGCATTCGCGTTGGCGAGGCACGAGAAAGAGAGAGAGAGAGAGAGGGGGGAGCGCTACTCCGTTTTGAAAGTACGTGGGATTTTACTCTTAGTGCTTTGCATTCCGGAGCAGCACTTAGGCCGCTCTTTAATGGAATCCCTTCGCTCAATTTATATTACCGTGAGAGCTCTAATGGTCTTAATCTTAGCGCTGTAACTTAAAGGGCGCTTTTTCCCCGAGGGGGCAAATTCTCTAAACGATAAACTCTGACGGGGAATGTCGAGGACGCGTGCAGTAACGCTGAAAGAAGAAAAAAATCTGATAGATTCAACCAGTCGTCTGGTAGAAAATGGGAGAATCAGAGTTCCTTTAGGATTTACCAGATGTGTCGTGAAGTCTAGCAAACTTCTGGTTGTGAAATATCTTTCACGGTAAATCCTAAAGGAATCCTGATTCGTCCGTTTCTCTCACAGACGACTGGTTGAATCTATCAGATATTTTTGCCAGTGCACATTTTTGTATACCGAACGTAAGATTAAATTGTCAAGTCGCAAAACTTTACCAGTCACTCGAGATTAAATAGATGTTCCGACATTCATATACATTCGTACACTGAAAAAAAAATCTGATAGATTCAACCAGTCGTCTGATAGAAAATGAACGAATCAGAGTTCCTTTAGGATTTACCAGCTTTGTCGTGAAGTCCAGCAAACTTCTGGTTATGAAATATCTTTCATGCACTGAAACAAAAGATTCAACCAGTCGTCTGTTAGAAAATGGACGAATCAGAGTTCCTTTAGGATTTACCAGATTTGTAGTAAAGTCTAGCAAACTTCTGGTCGTGAAATATCTTTCACGGTAAATCCTAAAGGAATTCTGATTCGTCCATTTTCTAACAGACGACTGGTTGAATCTACCAGATTTTTTTTCCAGTGTAAGATTAAATTGTCAAGTCGCAAAACTTTAGCAGTCACTCGAGATTAAATAGATGCTCCGACATTCGCATACATTCCTAGATACTTGTGTAAATTTACAAGGGAACCCGCGATACGAGAAACCGGTGGCGGACAGCGTCCGTATATTCGACAGAGTTAATAAATGTAAATAAATGCGCGTCGCGTCGCGCTATAAAAATAAGCTCGCAGACATTATACGTGCAGAAACTTTAGTAAATTAACAAGTTCTCTATGATAGAATTACGAAACAATATCGCGCGCTGCGATACGTCCCTTTCTCGCAACGCGGCCAATTCGCGTTGCATCCCCGCGCGAGCGCGTACGTGGATTAGCGATAACATTAATGAGCAGGAACAACATAAGCGCGTAGATAATGTCAAAAGGAACGGAAGATACGCCGTTGGAATGTGTTGATAGATTAACGGCCGACTCCGCGCGATTTAAGCCTAAATAAGCGCGTGATTTCGCGAGGGTAAGCACCCCACTTTTCCATCGTCGTCCATTATCAATTCTCATCACAATAGCACGACTGTTGATTAGCGCGGCACGCGCGATGCGATGTTTCGCGGAAATGTAGTACAATCCCGCGAGTGCATCCTGTAAACACGGCGCACAGAATTGGTATATAACTCGATCGATATCATCTCTCGCGTCTCTCGCTCTCTCTCTCTCATCTCTCGGTACCGCGGTGACACAGTTTCACGATTTCGCGATACGGAGAGACGACACGGCGACATTATCTCCACACGCGAAACTGCGATGCTACGTAGCCAACGCTGACATTTCAAATGTAGGTAGTCCTTGGCGAAACTGTATTGTCCTCAGCATGAAAACATACGACTCGCTCGGGAAAAGCATCCGAGTGTGTTGTTACACGACGCCAAGAGTTGTTATTTAAATGTTATTATTTAACATAATTTTCACACCTCTAGTCTGACGAATCTTGTAAGTTTTTATTATATAAAGACCACCGTAGTTTCAATTTCTGTTACGCAAGATCTCATCTTACTTTAGTTTATATACGCTGTTTTTCTGTTCTTCAGACATTTGTAGGTGCTTTTGTAAGTTCGTTACCTGTGAAGAGGACCAGTATTACTGGCCGAAACGTTGTGATTTATTATAATAAAGAACTGCCAGTAAGGTCGTTTCTACACTTATTCAAATTCTTGATTTCTCGACTGGTGTCACTAAGTTGCTATTTAATTGTTATTAGTTAATTTTAGACAAAGAGAGAGAGAGAGCGAAAGCAATAAATTTGAAGTATTTAATAACGAAATCAATTGGAATCAATTACAAACAATTTCGAGCAAAGTTAATCGACTTTGATTACCTTTTCAATATACAAGTGCTGTGACATGATACCAAGAGTTATTATTTAACTTCACAGAGAGAGAGAGAGAGAGAGAGAGAGAGAGAGTGAGGGCAATAAATTTGAAATATTTAATAACGAAATCAATTATTGGAATCAATTGCAAACAATTTCGAGCAAAATTAATCGATTTTGAATACCTTTTCAAGCTTATTTTTAATTCCACGGATAAGAAACATTGAAAACAGCTGCTTTGTCTTATCTTTGATCTAGATGATCGATTCCTAATTTATATGCTTAATTCATATCGTTTGTTACTTGGACGACGACACTTGTTTCAATGGAGTATATAAGTCGGTAATATTTTAAAGTATACCCTTTTTTCCTATCTTGTATGACATCATTTTTTTATGATCGCGAGGAAATTGTGTGAGGCCGCAAATTGTTTCGCGAAGTTCCGGCTATGATATCGCAAGGCAAAATTTCTTATGTTTCCTTTACGTAACTTGAGATACGCGTGTTTTATCAACTCGTTATGTTCATTACCTTGTGAGTTGCTACGCGTAAAAAAGATTGTAAATTTAAAACATACAAATATTATTGCAAAACTGCGTATAATATACATATATATATATTTTATGAATTAAGTAGTCTCTCTCATGTATCTTTGCGCAGTTAGTTATGTAAATGAGATTATCTCAATATGACTCGCTTGCCATGAAAAAGACGCAATTTAATTCTGAATTTTAATGAGATGCAAATAATCGAATCGCGTTGCTTCAATTTTAATATAATTAGTACGATTTCTGATATCAAGATTGTAAATATTCAAAGATAAAATTCATAATATCCGTATTACATTGAGAAACAGATAATTATCGACATATCGAAATGTACAATTAACTCGAGTCGATTCCGTCTGCGGGTATTGTCTCGGTAGTTGGAATTTTCAAAGCTGAATCGACGAATTTGTTAATTGGAATTTCAAATATCCAACGGGAAAGTCCGAGTAGTAAACCCACTGTCCTAAATCATGCACACCAATGCCTACTACCCAGTGGGCATTACTTTATCTTATTTTATCGTATGTTATCTTGTTTATCTTGTTTATGCCAAGTAACATCCATTAATGCCCAGAAGTGCCTAGTAATGCCTAGTAATGCTCGAAATATGTAATGCTCGAAATCACTACAATGCCTACTACCCAGTGGGCATTACTTTATCTTATTTTATCGTATGTTATCTTGTTTATCTTTTTAGAGACTTTATAATGCGCCAGCAAGGCCAAGTAACATCCATTAATGCCCAAAAGTACTTAGTAATGCCTAGTAATGCTCGAAATCTGTAATGCTCGAAATCACTACAATGCCCTCCGCCGTTTACCCCTCGGGAAAATCGAATCGAAAACAATTAATTGCTCAACAAAGCACGCCAAAATTGATTTCTAATCACATTACGTAAAATGGAGATAAATATACATCCGAGGTTTTTAGTGCGTTAAAGTAAGGAAAAATGCCGTCATCGCGCGAGAAATTATTCGGGCATGTGAATTAATAGTATCTTTTCTTATCTAATCTTTTCTTATCAAAATCGGCAGTTTTGATAAATAAATGTACTTTTCTGTAAGATTTTACGCCGTTTTCAAGTTTTGGCATTCATTGCCAAATGAACTTTATCGTATTTCACTCGTATAATATTTTGAAAAAGAATCGTATCATTTATGAAGTTAACATTTAATTTATTCCGACTTGTCTCTCTCATGGTACGTGACTTTTTGTATTTCCAAAGTTTGAAGAACATTACTGCTGACCGCATTTGACTGACTTGCATTTTGATCATTGCACGATGCTGTTGGTGAGCCGAATGAAATTAGACGACCCGATTAGGCTGCTGACGCGTCGTGACGCATTTTCGTGTGAGAAAAATTGCAAGAGCAGCCGCGTAAACCGTTTTCTCAAGCTTACACGCAGGTAAAAATAAACGTGTCGTAAGCAATTTACTACTGACCGCCGCGCCGCGATGAACAAGTCTCTCGAGTCTTTCTCCTCTATTTCGCCACAGGAGCGGATTGAGAGAGATTGATATATTTTTATGGACAGACAACACACACGCGTGCACAGAACAGGTCGTTCTGCTTAGAATCAATTTTAGGCTGGTCGTTATTTTGCCACGCCGTCTTTCCTTTTAAGCGCAATGTGTTACGCGAAGCGCGACCATTTTTCATGCGTCCGGCTCAATAATCGGATCCTTTCAGAGTTCGTTAAGAGCTCGACGGCGGGCTCGACCAGTCGAAAGGAAGAGGCTGTGAAAAGGCCCAAACCTACGGCACTTGCATGCTCTGTGTAAGGCAAGTGTGTATCGAGTCCATTCACGAGGAGCCAAGTCGATTTATTCCGATTTGGTGACCACATAGTTCCGGGATCGCGCGCGCTTTGCTTCAATGAATGTGTAGAACTATTAAATTCGATCTCTCCCCTGTTTTGCTATTTGCCATCCA